TTGACAGGAAAGTTCACCCCATCAAATCGGATTTCATAGAAAAAACACTCACGGTTGTCGACGTCTTTCTTCATTCTAATAAAAAAGAAGCAAAACATAGTCAGTGCTACCATGCAAAGATAAAAGGAACACTTTGTCATTTACACGCATAGTTGGTAATATAATTTAATAGATGTTACCAGATGAAAGCAGTGGCGATTTTTCGCTTTTATTATACACAGAGAGAACCATTTTCGAAAAATACCTGAAAGTGCAGGTAACCCCAAAATATATCTTTAGCGGAATTGAACTTTGTATTGCATGGAGCAAAATGCCGCAACCAGTTGTGTTCTTGGTTAAAACCGCCATTTTTTTTTTTTTTTTTTTTGGGAAATACTAAGTCGAGATTATTTAGCACACGACCGAGGGCAACGGAGACCTAAGGCTAGTGACGTCAGTTTTGAACTGAAGGGAAGAGGAGTAGATATTAAGAGTAGTAAGGAATTTCCATGGTATGTCAATGAAATAACCTTTTCTTGGCGATCTTAAACATATGAGTTGTTTAGATGTATTATTGCACGTTCATTGTCCAAACTTCTCCAGATTCTAAACCCTGGAAGACTGTTTCCACGATGTTGCAAGCACCAGCTGATGTAGCGTACTCATTCCACAAGGAATGCAAAGCTGAACTAAATAAACCGCAATCGCTTCGAAGATTTGTAGAAGAATTTCAGAATACACTGACTTGGGATAACTTTTTGCATGGCAATTCTCCGACGAAAGTATTTTTTATACTTTTTGTGGTGGCTATTCGTTCAGATCAATAAACTATACACAAGCGCGAAGTGCCCCGAATCGAGTTTATCATTCACGTAGTACGTGTAAACAGACTGACAAGATTTGAAACTCTGACACAAATCAGCTGCATTGACCAGAATCACTTAATAATTCAAACAAAGATAATACTTCGAGTCGAGAAGATAAATTGCCTTGAATTCTACCAAAATTCTGTAACCCGAAAGAATCAAAGCTCTTGTAATTTTAATTTCATCTTTACTCACTCGTTCTTCGCTGCAAGACTCGCCGTTCGATCAAACCTGACAATGAAATCTTCCCAAATCTTGTTCGTTGAGGGGCTTAATAAACACTGCCTAAAACTTTGTCGGCTTTTGCAGTTTTATACGCATTTTTGTTCTCAGAATAATGTTACAACAACTCGAAGCGAGCAAGTTTATGTGTGCGAATGTTGTGCGAATGATCTCCTTGTGGGACGTCACGAAATGCGTTAGACCCAGATCCTTTTAACTGGTTTTTCGACTCGGTAATGGTTTTTATTATAGCGTTCACGACTTTGAAAATTCATAAAAAAGAAATAACGTTTTGAACCAAAGGCAGAAATATTTTCGGTATTATTGAGTCCTTTGCAAACATTAAGATGTCGAGAGCTCCGCAAGGCGTCGCACTAGTTTGCTGAAGAGATAGGCATACCACAATGACAACAAATCGTTTGGGATAAATAGCCACAAATGTAATGAGTTTAATTGAAACTAAGGTTACAAACAAAGTTCTAAAAAAGGTCGTAAAAAATTCGACAATCCCTGGCATTTTATTTCATAATTCTTGGTATAGTTTGATAGCTAGTACTATGTGCTTTAACTGGAAATAGTGGATTGGGTATCTACAGTTTAAACCGGACGCACAACATCGCTTGGTCGTGAGACACCTCTAAAGGTACACGGTAACCTTAAGGGTCGTAAAATCGAAGGAAAGATAGATCAACTCTGTATCTGCTGCGATATCCTGAATGAAATACGGCTTTAGAAGTATTCTCGGTATATTACATCTTGTTCCATGAAAAAAAAAAAAAAAAAAAAANATATATATATATATATATATATATATATGAAAGGAAAAAAAACTAAGCAATGTTCGAAGCAAGGATGCCGTAAAACAGACCACAATAAATAAACATTTCTAAACTTTTACTTACTCGAAAGGCTGGCCTCATCCTTCCCCTGTAATAACGAACTTGTGCCCGTTTACAGCGCCTTCCACGCGCAGCTTGATCTTCATTTCTGGTTTGATCACTCTGCGAATGAAATTGGGATAAATCTGAGATCACTCACTAATTCAGAATACGTAATAGAGTAAATTCACAAGTCAAAAACGAAACAAAACCTTTTCTCGTGCAACACTTACCATGATGGTAGACGCAAGTAAGATTTTAAACTAACACAGTACTTGTTCTCGATCTGCTTTCTTTCAAATCACCAGGGTGAATGGGACTTCAGCGCTCAGGATGCTGTTTTAAACCTAAATGTCAAACCCAAAATTGAACCAATTATAAGCCAGGAATCCTAATGTAACAAACAGCAACCCATTGTAACAAACAACAACCCTTTGATGTCTATCGTATCAAGCCACATGTTTTCGTTGTTCACATGAAATCACCTTGGGGTATCGACTAACACTGTGTAATGAAGGAAACATTAATGGAATTATTTTTAAGAAGAACTTTTTCATAAGGAATTACATAATTCATCATGTCATCAAGTAAAGTTACTGTTATCTTGATTTTCATTTCCGTTAGCATTAGGGTTAACCTTCACTGCTTCCGACTTGATAAATGACATCAAAAGCGCAGTCATTTTCACGACTGTATATAAGATCTGCCTGTTTCTCCGACGTAATCATGATCAGTCATTCAACCAATTTAATTTGGCTGAGTAGATTTATATTAAACTGGGCATCGCATCCTGGTTTTTTATCAATCAGTCTAATAAGAATTTTTTTTTTTTTTGTTACACGAAGACTTGAAAATGGAGCTGAGATACATTTTTTCTTATAAGATATTGTATTTAATAACTTATGTAATACTTTACAATAACTTATACAATTGATATCCTTCATTTCGTTAGCGTTAATCTTCATATTAAGAAAGAGTCACACTAGGAAGTTTATCGGGTAACCTTGAGTACAACCAGTGAACACACCAAGTATTTCTGACATTTCTGTAATGTCCGTGCCTCGATTCCCCTGAAAAGTCAACGCGTGTCCAAGTGCTTTTAAATGGTCAGCTCTTAGGATGTCAGCTAACTATTTTTGGCAAGTGTAATCGTTTGAGCGTTTTATTACGTAATACTGTAGAACGGTTTCCAATTGATTGCGAACGTAATCAGACACTTACTTTGGTTTTGGTTTTGGTTTTACTGTGGTTTGAGATGAGCTGAGTAGTCTAATTAGTAAGTAATTGGTTTTGGTTTTCCGACACTCACTTGAAAACCGTTCCATCGTGTAAGAGGAGAAACTCAATCGCCCAACTAAACATCTGGCATGGATTTAAATTAGCCACAAGGTCGCCTTACCATCTCTTATTAATAGGTAACCTTTTCTACACTTTAAAGATGATTTCCGCAGAACATTCGAGCAGTAATGGGAAAAATAAAGCAACTAAGAAACCTCATAGCATGGTAATTTTTTTGAATAAAGTTAAGAAGATCTTATCGAGAATTAAGCTCTCAAGCTTTCTCCGCGAGAAAAAACTGAACTTAAAGTTATCCATATTTCAATAAAAACGGATGTTTCGCGTTAGTTGAAAACGCAATAACACATGCATGAAGTATTGTTACGATGTTTGACATTAAATTTCTAGAGAATGCTTGGGGATTTAATCGCGGGGTCACCTAGAGAAATGAACTACAGTGAGATGTTTTTAATAGTGTTTAAAAAAAACATACCATGCTGCGAGTAGATTATTAGTAAATAGTTTTTGCACTTATTGCTTGAACTTTGAGCGGAATCCGTCTTAATTATTGTATCTTTTATCATTGTGACTTTTGAATTAAGAGAGACTCGCAACATGGCCCCCAAAATGCGGTGACTTCCACGACTAAACTGCTCTGCACATGGCTGGTAGAAATTACAGTAAGTTTATCGTGTAGCCCAGAGAAAAAAAGATAATTTCATGATCTTACAGTGCAAAGAGTGAACACTAAAAGTATTTCTGCAATGTTGAATGTCCTAGGCCCTTGATTAAAAGCAGCTCTAGCTATTCGAAATATCGCCTGAACGAGTACATGTAGGTCTATAGTGAAATAATTTATCAACAAAATTACTCTAAGCTCGTTAGCTTTCACATCCGTTTTAAAGGGGTGCCAAGTTACAACGCATTACTTAAAAATATCCCACATAGGATGGCTTCGTGTTGGCAGATTTTTTTTTTTTTAAATACATAATTTCATGTAGTACGAAGGAAGCCTTATCGTCGTAATATAAGACCTGCCTTTTTCAGGGACATAATCAGTCGATCAATCAGTCAATCAATCCGGCAATCAATCAATGAATCATAATCTCTAATTGGCTTAGCGGTAGATTTAGTAATCACCTCCTAGGTTTGTTATCAATCGTGCTCATTTTTTCTGGCTAAAATTAGACAAAGAGGACGGCGTTTTGTTTTTGAAATTGGAGCAGAGTTCAGGATCATTCAATAACTTAT